CCTATTATAATTTGATTGTTGTGTTCTGTTGCTATCCATTTGATTTTTGATTTTTGTTATAGGATTGTTTGAATGTACTGTATTTGTGAAACACATTTCTGATATTGTTTGTGAAATCTGTTATAATGTTTTTGAATTGGTTAGAAGTTTTGTTTTAAGTTCTCTAAACTATGTAAGAGTTTTTTTGTTTGATTTTTTGATTGGATTGATAATTTCTATCCATGGAGATCATCTAAAGTAGGAGTAAATCACATAATACAATTTTAGAATTAGCCATGTATTATATATTACATGTTATGCGATTTCTGAAAATAACAAATAATTGGCATCAATATTACATCATCATATATTGTTTTTTTTTCTTTTGAAAGAAAAAAAAAATAATAAATTTTTTATCAATTACTAATGTCTTCAGCTTTTTCTTCTTTAGCTCCTTTAATTATAACATCAACATTAAATCTTATACCAGAAAAAAATGGAATCTTCTTTTCAATGTAGACCATACTTTAGGGATTTCAATAGAGATTTTTAATAACGAGTGGTGACTGTTAGTATTAAATATTTGGACAAAATGGGATCTTTATAAATATATAAACAGTAATATTCATAAAATTTTCACTTGTTGTTTTATGAAGCACTGTGAATCAAATATCCATCAAAAAAAATTGTTCTGAATAAAAAGTACCAACTAATCAAGACACAACCACCTGATATATGTTCTGCAATGATCAAAGTTTTATGAATAGTTTCTTCAGAGAAAGTTCAAGTAGAGTGATATAATAACTCCTCCAATTATATATATTCTTTACTAGAAGTCAATAGAATGAAACAGCCAAAAGTCATTAAAAATCTAGTTGAAATAGAAGCAATCAAAAAATTATTTGCCCTTTACAATCACATCTGCTATCAAGAAATATACAATATTAAAATTAAGTCTTGGTAAATATGTGTATGAGCTGAAGCATAAAGAAGTAGTGAATATTAAATACAAAGTTTGTGGGCCTGCAGAAACTTATCTTAAAGGAAATTTGAATTTAAAATTAGATATTTCATAATACAGTTCTTATTTAATAGAACAGGAGTATTTTGTTGAAAATTATTGTATTTCACAATAGTCTACTAAGGGTGTCATGTTTGTGCATCCAGAGCAACTAAAGAAACTTAAATGTCATGGATGGTTGACACTTATGGATTCAACACATAAAACCATCAATATGATTGGCATCTATTTATTCTTTACATTTGTAATACCTACAGATGTTGGAATGTAGGCACCTATTTTTTCATAAACAGTGAGGATGCAGATACAGTTATACAAGCTTTAACAATAATTCGCAATATGTGTTGCCATTGATCCCTCGTTACATACTTTCAGATCATAATAATATCAAAGCTAAGGGGATCAAAAAGACATTTCCTGGCATATCTGCTAGTAAGCAAGAGTGCGAAGTTATCCTTTGTATCATTTACATTATGAGAACATAGATCCAAAAGATTCATGAAAAAAAAACTCGAGATACAATAGTTGCAGCAATATATAAACGGATGAAGATTGGATACAAGGGCCTTGTTTAAAATGCTATTAATTGATGTTCCATCCCTTCTATACAAAACTATATTAAAAGAAATTATTCCAAGAATACAGAGAAATAGAGATTATAGGCTTGTCAACACTCCCCCCTATTTTTACAAATCACATCAACAAATTCACTAGAATCTTTCCACAGTGAATTAAAAAAAAATATCTTTATTACACAATTTGATTAGTATATGATAATTTTCTTTGATTATTTAACCCATATACTTAACTCAAAACTTTTTTTTTATACTTTAGGTGCCATTCAACATTGTTAATATTAATTATAAAAAAAGATCTAAAGCTGGAAGTGTATCCTTTGATTTTCATATTAAGAAAATATTTGTATACAGTGTTAATAATAATATTCTTGATGAAATTAAAAAGTTTCTCTTCCTTTTTTAACAATTAATTGTTAAAAAAGCCTGTGCTATAATGAATAGACTTGAAAAAGGAAAAGATGTGCTAGATCTTTCTTCTCTCAATTGTTTCTGCTTATTTCACCATTGATATTTACTATTGTACAAACATATTTTTCATAAACATATATATGGTAATAACTTGTTAATCACTAATATATAGCAAATGTTTTATTCAACTTTCGAAGAAAACGGGTTTGAAGTATATGAAAACCAAGAGTTATTTATAAAATATATTCAAACTGAGCAACAGAAAGTATCAAAAATCAAAGAACTACTGTGGGTGAATTAACTGAAAGAATGTGCGATAGGTATTGGCACATTAAAGAGATGTGTAATGCTGAGAGGATGCAATTCTTTACTTCTATATTAGAAGCTTCTGTGGATCCAATCATATCATGTTTTGATAATAATTCAAACGAAAAAACTTAAGATGTATTTAGGAACAATTGGAAAATGAAGTATAAATAATATCATTATAGGTGTCAACAGAAAAACCATTAAATTCATGCATTTATATATTTAAAGGTTATAGTATATAGCAAAAACTTTAAATTAATTCGAAGATATAATTAATTATACAACAAGCCCAACTGGTAAAGAAAAAAATATATTAACACAATAATTCTACGATATACTTGTACAAAGCCTATTAACATCATTGGGAATAACGTATTTCGAGAATATCTCTGGCAATTCGACCAATTGAACCACCATTCCCAATTCGATATGCCATTCAATGTGGCAATGGAGCAACCAGACACCAGGGTTGTCCGCGTAGTACCTGATTACACTTAAACTATAGGGATTTGATACGTTAGTAGAAATCAATGGAATATATATTTGGGTTTCATAATAAACATTTACCTAAGTTCTTTGAGTGTTATTATGTCGCGGAATGGTGGATCGTCAAAGTTAAATTTTAAGGAACTAAGGGGCTGAACATTACTGCCTATTCCGCCTTGAGCAATAATCCAGAACGAGTGTCCGTGCTATTTAAAGTAATAGGTTAAAAATAATTAAAGATACGCTTAGTATTATAAATAGAACTCACCAAATGGAATGGATGAGTTCGGTTTTCCGTATTGTTTAAAACAATCTGAATAGGGGAGTTTAATCCATGATAATAATAGACGTTATCGGAAGCCGAAAAATTATCGCCATCAATAATTCTTTTATTAGTAGGATAAGTGAAGTC